ATTTATATGGAATAATTTTAAAAATTAAAATTGTAATATATTTTTTGTACTACGGAATCAGTTTCTAGAATTTATATTTGAAAAAAAAAAATTGAAATCTAATATTTTATATGCAAATGAAATTTACTTTCCTAACTATAGTGGACTTTTATTGTGCTACCTTATATAATCAGATTTTAGAATTTGTTTTGAAAAAAAAAATTCAAAATCTAATATTTTATATGCAAATAAAATTTACTTTCCTAACTATAGTGTACTTAAATTGTGCTACCTTATGGACTTGAATGATAAATAGGTTTAAAATTAGTTTTTATTGTGATTATGAACTAAAAACTAACATAGAAAAAATAAAAGATTTTCATATGTATAATTGTATTTTATTATTAGCAAAATCGTATTTTTTATAATTGGTAATCTGTTGTTGAAATTAACTAAATTCATATTTTTTTATTGGCAAGAAAAAAAACATTTGAAATAAACTGATAGTTTAAATTAACAAAAATTCAGATTTTTTGATTGGCACGACAATCGGCTTTTACAAAAATAAATATCATAAATACATCTGATAGACAAAAAATTAGGCCCGATTTTGTTTCCAAACTGGCCCAATGTTTACAATTTAAATTTTTGAAAAAAAATAAAGATATCACATAGGCGGGATTATTCAAATTTTGGCCAAAAAGATTACTCAATTTAGTAAATATTTTAGGCGGGAAACCAAATTTTTTTTTGTTGATTTTTAGTTACTATTTCAAGTAAATATCATTGTCTTTTTATATATTAATAGATAATACACTACGCTCTTTTTATATTAAGTGCCTGCTTATACTATATATATATATATATTAAGAATAACCATTTACCAAAAATAGTACCCAAAAAATAGGTATATTTTAATTTAGCCTATAAATAGTAAGTTTTATTATTTTTCTGTAAAAAATCATACAACATTAAATGTTATATTAAATTTCAGGCTTTAGTTCATTTTATTATTCAAAATATCCGACTAAGATCTATTAAGTGTGCATGTTTTCATTTTAATTTTTTTTTTTCTTATAAACAACGAACAACATTAAAAATTTTGTCTCTATATTTATAAAATCTCAATTCAAAATATAACAAAAGTTTTAGAATCCGGTCTTTATATTTGTGCCTTTCAAAATAGAAATATTGAACGCTAAAAAATTCTTTAAATTGCATAATCAATATATTAATCTTAATTCTTTTTAAAAATTACTATGTTTATTTTTCATTAATATGCATAAAGTTAAAATAATTATGTCATCTTTAGATTTATAATTTATAATCTTAATATACTATCATTTGGTGTAGATATTTCTTATATGAATCATATAATATTTTTATTTCATAAAATAAAATATATTTAAAGAAATAAGGAATTTTCATTGGATCAATCGAGTGATTAAATTACTTTTAGGTGAAATTCGAAATAGTCAAAAAATATGACACAACTTGGTNATGAATCATATAATATTTTTATTTCATAAAATTAAATATATTTAAAGAAAATAAGGAATTTTCATTGGATCAATCGAGTGATTAAATTGCTTTTAGGTGAAATTCGAAATAGTCAAAAAATATGACACAACTTGGTTGGTCCCAGGTGACTAAATTATGTATCAGTTTGACAATACCAAATCGATTATTGAACCTAAATATAAATTTTAATATTGAAAATACTTTATTACGTGAATGTAAAATAATCTTTTATTATAATTTTTATTAATGTACAGTAAATATAAGGTTTCCAGAACCAGACCATCATCGTAACGATCAAGTTATTTTATTAAATCATTTGTGGTTTGTTCGATTTTAATTTATAAACATTTTAATATACATATATATACTTAAATATCTAAACAGATTATAAATTCAAATGTTTAAACTAATTGATAAACAAGTTATAAACTCCATTTTATTTAAATACGTAATTTTATTTAAAATAATTTTATATGTACCAAAATTTATTTAGGAAATCGTATCGTTCCTNGATTTTGTTTCCAAACTGGCCCAATGTTTACAATTTAAATTTTCGAAAAAAAATAAAGATATCACATAGGCGGGATTATTCAAATTTTTGGCCAAAAAGATTACTCAATTTAGTAAATATTTTAGGCGGGAAACCAATTTTTTTTTGTTGATTTTTAGTTACTATTTCAAATAAATATCATTGTCTTTTTATATATTAATAGATAATACACTACGCTCTTTTTATATTAAGTGCCTGCTTATAATATATATATATATCCATTTACCAAAAATAGTAGCCAAAAAATAGGTATATTTTAATTTAGCCTATAAATAGTAAGTTTTATTATTTTTCTGTAAAAAATCATACAACATTAAATGTTATATTAAATTTCAGGCTTTAGTTCATTTTATTATTTAAAATATCCGACTAAGATCTATTAAGTGTGCATGTTTTCATTTTAATTTCTTTTTTCTTATAAACAACGAACAACCTTAAAAATTTTGTCTTTATATTTATAAAATCTCAATTCAAAATATAACAAAAGTTTTAGAATCCGGTCTTTATATTTGTGCCTTTCAAAATAGAAATATTGAACGCTAAAAAATTCTTTAAATTGCATAATTAATATATTAATCTTAATTCTTTTTAAAAATTACTATGTTTATTTTTCATTAATATGCATAAAGTTAAAATAATTATGTCATCTTTAGATTTATAATTTATAATCTTAATATACTATCATTTGGTGTAGATATTTCTTATATGAATCATATAATATTTTTATTTCATAAAATTAAATATATTTAAAGAAAATTAGGAATTTTCATTGGATCAATCGAGTGATTAAATTACTTTTAGGTGAAATTCGAAATAGTCAAAAAATATGACACAACTTGGTTGGTCCCAGGTGACTAAATTATGTATCAGTTTGACAATACCAAATCGATTATTGAACCTAAATATAAATTTTAATATTGAAAATACTTTATTACGTGAATGTGATGTAGTCCAAATTTCAAATAATCATATTAATAATACTTTTATTGCAACATGTTAAATGGTTTATGAATATTTATATATCATCTTATCAATATTTATGTGAATAAAATAATCTTTTATTATAATCTTTATTAATGTACAATAAATATAAGGTTTCCAGAACCAGACCATCATCGTAACGATCAAGTTATTTTATTAAATCATTTGTGGTTTGTTCGATTTTAATTTATAAACATTTTAATATACATATATATACTTAAATATCTAAACAGATTATAAATTCAAATGTTTAAACTAATTGATAAACAATTTATAAACTCTATTTTATTTAAATACGTAATTTTATTTAAAATAATTTTATATGTACCAAAATTTATTTAGGAAATCGTATCGTTCCTACCAGTCCAACCGACTGGTGTTGACGGATTCGACAACAAATATTTTATTGAAGCGAACTACACTGGTTATAAACCGGTTCTCGGTCCATCCGGTCGGACTGCGTCCAACCCAATTTATTTTATAAACAATGGTTAAATCATAATTAATGTTATTTATATATTTTATTTATAATTAAACCGGAATATTGTTTTCCCGTGAATCGCACGGGCCACTCTCTAATTGTTTAAGAATCAATTTAATATATTGTAAGAAGGTGTGAGTAACCAAAGAGATAGTTTGTGAATATTATTTATTTATAATTTTNTTCTCGGTCCATCCGGTCGGACTGCGTCCAACCCAATTTATTTTAAAAACAATGGGTAAATCATAATTAATGTTATTTATATATTTTACTTATAATTAAACCGAATATTGTTTTCCCGTGAATCGCACGGGCCACTCACTAATTGTTTAAGAATCAATTTAATATATTGTAAGAAGGTGTGAGTAACCAAAGAGATAGTTTGTGAATATTATTTATTTATAATTTTTGAATACGGTAAGCATTACGTTACTTAATTGTAAGCAAAACGACAATCCGATATAATCTTATAAATCGCATAGTAAACTATTATACATCATAAAATAAAAGAACTGATGTGAAAAATCAGTAATGTGTTTTTAACTTTTATTTGATACGCATTTGAGATCTATATTTGTCCATCTATTAATAATTAATATGAATAGGGTCTTGATTATATATGGTCAATTTCGTTTATATAGAATGACAAAACTAACTACATTACTGAATTCATAAATAGATACAAATTAAAATTTTGTACACCTAGAGTTCTGATGGTTGGGT